CTAAGAGATGGTGAAAACAGAAAATCACCTTTTAGCAATGATCATAAGGGTGGCTAATTCAGGCAAGAGTCCTCAATGGAGGCTGCAGCTGCAGCAAGCTAAGATTTATTTATTTTTCTAAATTTTATTTTTCTTTCCATTTACATGAAAGGTAGAGTGACAGAAAAAGAGAGAAAGACAGAAGTGGGGTGGGGGGTGGTTCCATCCATTAGTTAATTCCCCAAACGTCCACAGTAGCCTGAGCTGTGTCAGGCTGAAGCCAAGAGCTTGGAACTCCAGCCAACCTCTCACGCAGGTGGCAGGGACCCAAGTACTTGGGTTGTCATCTGCTGCCTTCCCAGGCACATGAGCAGGGAGCTGGATCAGAAGCAGAGCAGCCGGGACTTGAACCAGGCACTCCAGTATGAGATGTGGTGTCTCAAGTGCTGGCTTAACCTGCTGCACCACCACACCTGCCCCAGGTGAGCTGAGATTTACTGAGGAGAAGGATTCTGGAATAATGTCAGAGCATCTCTCTTCCTAATACTAATCGATGACAAAGGGGAAACAGGGGCATTGTGCAGAAGTATGGCAGACACCAACATGACCGGGAAGTCGATCTGAACATCAGACGCAGTGGGATGGGACAGGAAAATACCAGGCTGGATGGAGATGAAGAGACACAGCTGTGGTGGTCAGCCAACTGTGGGCGGAACATGGTCACCAATGGCCCCTCAGGAACCACTGCTTCCAGACAACAGGAGAAGGCCCTTATTTTTGGAAAACATTGGAAGGCATTAGACATCACACAGCATCACGTAGGTTCAGAGGGAATACTGACGACACGGGGAGGGTGCAGACACGGGGAATACCCACAGTGGGGGGATCTGGATGAAAGGAGTCCCACATTCCTGCAAGGGATGGGTTTAAAAGGCAATAGGATCCGACCATGAACAAACAACTCCTCTTGATGGACCAGAACCAAATGCACTCGATCTGAACAATGGCCTGAACATGAACTTGACTCATAAAAGAGATGCTTGAAGGCAGGGGATACTGATCCAGAAATCCTGCAGTGTGTAGAAAAAAGAGGAAATGGCACAGAAGCATGACCTCCTGTGACCGGCGAACAGAAAGTTCTTCAGATCAGGATACATATCTTTGCATCACATGTATTTAACTTTGGATTCTGGCCAGCTTTTTTTGGAATATAGATGATGACAGTGCTATGAAACATCAATGAATAACAAGACAAATGAGGGGCAGGTGTTTGCCCTAGCAGTTAAGATATCACTTGGGAAGCCCACATCCCATACTGGACTAACAGAGTTCAAGTCTTGGCTCTGTTCCTTCTGATTCCAACTTCCTGCCAATGTGCACCCTGGGAGGTGGCAGGTGATGGCTCAATTACTTGGAACTCTGCCATCCACATGGGAAACTCAGACTGAATTCCCAACTCCTGAGTGGAGCCTGGCCCAGCCCAGGTTGTTGTCAGCATCTGGGGAGTGAATCAGTGGACTAAAGATCTCTCCCTCTATCTCTGTCTCTCTTCCTTTCAAAGAAAATGAAAATAAATAAATAAAAATAGGCTAAATGAGAGCCACCCTTCCCCTACTTCAGAAACTACTTAGTTGAAGCCAACAGATAGGAGTATTACAGGCAGAAAAAGGATGACCTCTGTCCTAGAGACCTAAGTCAGAAACATTAGTAAGAAAGATGACCAGTCTTTGGTGTCCTTTCAACCATAAAAAGCTGAAAGAACTGCAATAGTTGACAGTTTTTATGAGCCTATAAAAGGGAATTCACCCTATGCTGAAGGCATAGGAAAAAGGCATTGTGAAGCCTTGAGCAGGTAAGCTGGTTAGTGCATCAAGTTGCTAATCCTCCAGCTTTAAAAGACAAAGATAGGCCAGCACCGCGGCTCACTAAGCTAATCCTCTGCCTTGCGGCGCTGGCACACCGGGTTCTAGTCCCGGTCGGGGCACCGGATTCTGTCCTGGTTGCCCCTCTTCCAGGCCAGCTCTCTGCTGTGGCCCGGGAGTGCAGTGGAGGATGGCCCAAGTGCTTGGGCCCTGCACCCACCTGGGAGACCAGGAAAAGCACCTGGCTCCTGGTTTCGGATCAGCGCCGTGCGCCAGCCATTGGAGGGTGAACCAACAGCAAAAGGAAGACCTTTCTCTCTGTCTCTCTCTCTCTCTCACTGTCCACTCTGCCTGTCAAAAAATAATAATAATAAAAAAAAGACAAAGATAAACCTATCCTCACTCCATCTGTATTTTACATCTAGTCAACCTACACATACTCAGCTCATGTTACCCTCCATCTCTTCTTGCACTAAAGCCAAAGAGAACAACATTGTCTTGGAGAGCGTTGCTCACAAAAGGCTTGTCAGCTTTCCAGAAGTCAACTCTGCCTAGACACGCAGCCAAAGATGAAGCCTTGCACCCAGTCCTACATTTCTCCCCTGGCTCCCCTGGGCAAGATGGTGGGTGTGGCTTGCTGGAGAACGTTCTAATGCAGCACAGTGCTGGCCTCAACCTAAGAGTCTCAGATCTCCACTGTTTCCCTTTCACCTACAGCTCAGAATACTGCGCCTCATCCTGTTGTGTGTTTGCCCTCCGACAGCAGTCAGCTGCTACTAGCAGAACAGACCAGACTTCCACACCAAACACCCAGAAAACAGGAAACACGCAGTCCGTGGTTTGCAGACACACTTGGTCAAAGGACTCTTAGAACCTCTGCTCTAGCCTTGAAGAGTGGGGAAAAGTTTTTTGCTTTGTCCAGGAGGAATTACTTCCCTTATTAAGCAAATAAAACACCTATGCCATCTGAGCAAACCCGAATTCACGCTCCACACACAGAAGGGAAGAACTGGACTCAACTCTCCAGAAACCAGAAGAGCACCAAGTCTAGCAGGCAGCATCTGAAAAACAATGGCGACCCCTAGTAGTGAGCAGGTTCTACAGGAATGGTCATTTCCCTCCCTACCCCAGCGCACCTGAACCACCACGACAAATTCCCTGCTGGATGAAAACCGCACGTACCAGGTGCTTTTAAAATATAGTTAGGCAGAGGCAGGCCTGTGGCCTGCAGCAGTTCAGCTACCACATAAGACATTCACATCCCATACTGGAGTGCCGGGGTTCAAGTCCCAGCTCTGCTTCTTCTGACTCCAGCTTCCTGCAAATGCACACCCTGGGAGGTAACAGTGATAGCTCAAGAAGTTGGATCCCTGCCACCCACATGGGAGGCCTGGATTGAGTTCTGGGCTCTTGGCTTTGGTCTCACCCAGCCCTGGATATTACAGGTATACGGGGAATAAACCAGCACCTGGAAGATCTCTGTCTCAGTCTTTGTCTCTCTGCCTTTTACACAAACAAAAATCATTAAAATATAATTAACTGCATTGATTCAGATCCTAAATTTTCATTAGTTCAGACTCCAACTATGTAAGTCAAGCTAAATTATAGTTGTGTTATATTTAAATACATTTTCTGCCTGTCTGCATAACAGAGAAAGCATTAAGGGGAAGTATTAAGTTCTTTGTTAAGACTAACAGGCCATTCATTTAAAACAGATTTTTTCTTTTTTGTTTTCATGCAAATTGTTGAACTCTTTACTTAGTATAGAGTTGGTCTTCTGTGTATAAAGATAACTGAAAATGGATCTTAGCAGAGAATGGGACTAGGAATGGGAGAGGGAAGAGAAGGGGTGGGAGGGCGGGTATGAACTATATTCCTAAAGTTCTACTTATGAAATGCATGCAGTTTGTATTCCTTAAATAAAAGATTTCTTTTGGAAAAAATAATTAAAAAAAAAAAAGAAAATCAAAGTACTTGCTCAGTATACTGTCATTTCTACCTCCTTGCTTCAAGAACATAAAAGGCAGAAAGTGTTCAAGTACCTAAAAAGCACCTGACTTACAAAGTAAATCAGAAAGTCTTCTATTTCACAGATTAGAAAACTGAAGCTGAGAGTTTAAAATGATTTCCACTCGGAGCAGATGTTTAGCCTAGTGGTTAAAAGCACACATTCCACATCAGAGTAGCTAGGTTGGATTCCTGTCTCTGGCTCCTGACTCCAGCTTCCTGCTAATGCACCCATGGACAGTAGCAATGATGGCTCAAGAACCTGCGTCCCTGCCACTCACATGGCATAGAGTTCCTAGCTTCCGGGTTCTACCTGGGCTGGCTCCAGTCACTGTGGCTACTTGGGGAGTGAACCAGCATATGGGAGGGCTCTCTGTCTCTGTCTCTCTACCTCTCCAGTGAATAAATTCAATTTTAAAATAAATAAGTAAAATAAAAATTATTTTCACCATTAAAAGAAAGCAGTAAATCAAACAGCCAGCCTCTTTCCATCAAAACTCAAGATTTATCCAGGAAAAAGCAAACGACACACCAATTGTTCAGTTGCCCAAGCGAAAGATGATGTACATGGTACAAACACTTCTAAAAACAATTTGGAGGCTGGTGCAGTGGCACAAAAGGTTAAAGCCCTGGCCTGCAGCACCAGCATCCCATATGGGTGCCAGTTCAAGTCCCAGCTGCTCCACTTCCGATCCAGCTCCCTGCTAATGCAGCAGAGGATGGCCCAAGTCCTTGGGCCCCTGCACCCACATGGGAGACCAGGAAGAAGCTGCTGGCCTGGCTTCAGATCAGCTCAGCTCTGGCTGTTGTGGCCATCTGGGGAGTGAAGCAGCAGATGAAGACCTTCTTTCTCTCTCTCTTCTCTCTCTTCTCTCTTTCTCTGTCTCTACCTTTTGGTAACTTTCAAATAAATAAAATAAAGCTTTAAAAAAAAAAAAAAAATTTGGCAGATCCTCTGAAAGTTAAACAGAAGCCCAACACGTGACCCAATCATTTCATCCCAGTCTAGCCTGAAGAAATGAAAGCATGTGTGTGAGTATCTGTACAAAGACCTGTGCATAAATGTTCGCAGCAGCCTTATTGGTAAAAGGCGAAACTATAAAGGTTCATCTCAGGTCAACAAAGTATCTCATAGAAAGCGCATGCACGTACTTGATGTCTGACAGGATTTCTTTCTCAACTGTTTTGCGACACAGAAGAAAGCCACTCTTGACTTTTACTCGATAGCGGATGTTATGAAAACTTAACACGGCTCCCTCATGCGGTGTCTTCAGGTCGTTGGTGGCTGTCCCAGGGAGGCCATTGCTGTTTCTTTGTGACATTGGCACAAAAATCTGGACATCGTCGGAAGACATCGGGGAAGTTTCTGCCTTTCTGTGGGAGAAAAACAACTGTAAGTTGACAGTCCAGATAAACCAGATTATACACACTAGGTAACCGCGTCTAAAACGAGTCTGCTTTAACCTGTGCTGGACAGCCCACGTGGCTGTCATCTCACTGCAAAAAGAACAACCTTGGAGGAAATTTCTAGTAAGTAAATGGGCCCTCACAAGTTACTAGGAACCCTATAAAAATTACTCAAAACTCTTAAAGCAGGGAACATCAGGGTGAGAGTTAAGACTTGGTCTGACTTGAGAAGCACATTGAGGTACAACTCAGCTCCAGGGGTGGACAGTATAATCACCCTCATGATACAGTGCATTTTTTTTACCTTTAGTGCCGATATTGTGTTTACTCAAGCAGGCACACGGGAGCAGTTTCTCTTAGTGCATAGCTCCAGATGTTGTGGCTCCAGTTGTCAGGTACCTGCAGTCACCTAAGGTAAGCCCCCAACTGCTTGCAATGACATCACCATTTCCTTAATGGGCAAACATATTTAAATTCTGGGATGATTTAATATTAACTGTGAAAATGATTAAGTACATCAAACCAACAATCAAGTGGCTCAAGCTTAACAAAAAACTGAATATGAATTATATAAAGAACTATAAAATGTTTCATTAAACAAGTTACAAAAGACCTGGTAAAAAGTAACTATGGGGGCAGGCACTGTAGTGTAGCGGGTAAAGCTACCACCTGCAATGCCATCACATATGGGTGCCATTTCATATCCCAACTGCTCCACTTCCAATCCAGCTTCCTGCTAATGTATCTGGGAAAGCAGCAGCACATGGCACAAGGACTTGGGCCCCCGTCACCCATGTGGCAGATCCAGATGAAGCTCCTGGTTCCTGGCTTCAGCTGGGAATTAAAAATTTCTAGTATTTAGTTGAAAGGAAGAGTTGAGAGAGAAATCTTCTATCCGCTGGTTCAGTCCCCAAGTGGACTCAATGACCAGGCCTGGGCCAAGAGGAACCAGGAGCCAGGAACTCCATCCAGGACTCCCATGTGGGTGGCAGGGGCCCAAGTATTTGGGCCACGCCCCACTGCTTTCCCAGATACATTAGCAGTGAGCTGGATTGGAAATGGAACAGTGGGGACTGGAACTGGCACTCAGTAGCAATGCTGGCATCGCAGGCAGCCACTTAACCCACTGCACCACAAAGTTGCCCCAGTTTTATTTTTTAAAGCTAAATTACTTTCTCTCTGCCTAAGCTATTTCAAACAAATAGCACCCCTAAGAACAACAATAAAAGCACACATGAGGGCCGGTGCCGCGGCTCACTAGGCTAATCCTCCGCCTAGCGGCGCCGGCACACCGGGTTCTAGTCCCGGTCGGGGCGCCGGATTCTGTCCCGGTTGCCCCTCTTCCAGGCCAGCCCTCTGCTGTGGCCAGGGAGTGCAGTGGAGGATGGCCCAGGTGCTTGGCCCTGCACCCCATGGGAGACCAGGAAAAGCACCTGGCTCCTGGCTCCTGCCATCGGATCAGCGCGGTGCGCCGGCCGCAGCGCGCCGGCCGCGGCGGCCATTGGAGGGTGAACCAACGGCAAAGGAAGACCTTTCTCTCTGTCTCTCTCTCTCACTGTCCACTCTGCCTGTCAAAAAAATAAATAAATAAATAAATAAATAAAAGCACACATGAGACATAAGGAGGAGTTTAAAGCATTCTCTCTGATGAGAGCAAAGCAGCCAGGACTCCAGGAACCAAAATTCTGGAAAAGCGGGAGCAGCATAGGAGCAAACACAGCATCCTGTGTCCTCTCCTCAAGGTATCTGCACACATAAGTCACACACACACGGGGCACAACTCAGAACAACCGAGCGGGAGGAAACTGCTGGACACTTCTTTTTTAAGCCTCTAATATTTCTGGGTAAAACCTTCTGTAGTCTCTACATGCTCAGGAGACAAAGCATGGAGCCGCAGCTAGCAAGCAGGAGGGGCCCTGGAAACCATGCTTCTGAGATCCCAGAAGGACCAAAAAAAAAAAAAAAAAAAAAAAAGCGACACCAGACCAGCTTCTACTTGACCAAGGTGATGTGCACAGACGCGTCTGCTAGAAGAGAGTGAACTCCTCATCCACATCTTCAACCAGGAAATGACCAGGCATGCTGGAAAACAGGACCCAACGTTCCAAAAGTGAGAACGCAGGAAGAGACCCACAGGTAACCTAGACATTGGTATTAGAACAACTGATTAATACGTCCATGAAAATAAATGAAGATGGGTTATCACCAAAGAACCAGAATTTATTTTAAAAAATCAAAAATTAGAAACTCAGCAGATGAGTTCAATAGCCATTTAAACACAGACTAGGGAAAGAATTAATTCGTGACCTGGAAAATTGGTGCATAAAAACCTTGCAGAAGAAAATTATGAATGATGAAAATTATCAACAGGAGCAACAAAAACAAAAAAAGCAAAGCTCTGTTAAAAAGAACAACAAGTACATAAAACAGCTGGGAAATGTGCAAAAGTTCTGTCCTACCTGTACCGGGAGAGAAAGCAAAACAGAGCAGAGGCGATAAAGTTTTCAGGTCACACAGCAAAGAAGCTCTAGACTGGCAGCAGCATAAACACAAAAACACACCTAGGCGTATCAGAGTAAAACTGCCCAAGTGCACAGTCATTTCGGAATAACTGTTTCTACACCCAAAACTGATCATTCACAACACTCTGCTTTGCAAGCTGGAAGAGCAGGAAACCACATAAAGATTGACACCTGGGGAAATGAAAGGGAAATAGCTGCTTTTTAATCAGCAAAGCCACTGAATATAATAATTAGCCAACGTTCTATTGTCTTGGAGCAAGGAAAGGAATTAATGAACTTCACACCTTGACCTCAAAAGCTTAGTAAGCCATCTCCTCCGATCTTCAGCAGACAAACAAGGCTGATTCCCCCACCGGCAATCACGTCTTTTACTGCCATCCCCATTCATGTTTAGCCCCTGGGAACACTTGGCAACCTTCTGCCGAGACTTAGGAAAAGAACCACATAGCATACTGCCTGAATTTTAAGCCACTGACTACACATGGAAACTTCCAAGAGATTTTCCTGAGGCTACCCACTAATTAGACATCACCAAGGCCCACACAAGACACAGGGCAGGGGCCCACGCTGTGTTGTAGCAGGTAAAGCCGCTGCCTGAAGTGCCGGCATCCCATATGGGCGCCAGTTCGAGACCTGGCTGCTCCACTTCCAATCCAGCTCTCTGCTATGGCCTGGGAAAGCAGTAGAAGATGGCCCAAGTCCTTGGGCCCCTGTACCCACATGGGAGACCCGAAAGAAGCTCCTGGCTCCTGGCTTTGGATCGGCACAGCTCCGACCCTTGTGGCCATTTGGGGAGTGAACCAGCGGATGGAAGACACCCCCCCCCACCACCTCTCCTTCTCTCTCTGTGTAACTCTTGACTGTCAAATAAATAAATAAATAAGTCTTAAAAAAAGAAAAAGACACAAGGCAGAGTCTGATAAACACAGCAACGCTTGTAGAATGTGTGTTGTGGAATGTTGACAGGGCCTGGCAATCCATGAGTCACAAACCCAGTGAGTGACTCAGGTAATCACCAGCTGAAACATGTGTTATCACAAAAACAGGATGATTTTAAAACTAACGATGATAAAAGCCTCAGCAGCCTCTAACCTGAAAGTGCCCAATATCTAGTCAATACGGTATTACATGACTCATGAAAAGTAGTAACTGCCTTCAAGTCAACGTTTAACACTCCCCCACAGCCAGCCAGTTTCTGGTTACATGTGTTGCTTTCTCTGCATTACTCATCACTTTTTCATAGAAAGAAAAATGTTGAAATCACATCTGCTTGTCCCAATTAGAAAAACGACCTCCCTTGGGCTGGTGCTGGGGTGCAGCAGGGTAAGCCGGCATCTGCAATGCTGGCATCCGGTGTGCATAAGAGGGTACCTCAAAGTTCATGGAAAATACATATTGTGAAAAAACTGTTCAACTATGCATGGATTCCAAAAGTTTCGCAGCAAATTAAGCTCATCTTTTAATTCCATTTTTTATGAACTTTTTGAAGGATCTTCATTCAATGAAAACTGCAATCAAGTTAAAAAAAAAAAAAAAGAAACGAAACAGAAAAACAACAGCACACAGGCAGAATCTAAAGTCCTTGGCCAGGGACCTGCCCAGTTATAATTACTGCACAGGTAGGTGGAAGCCAAGGTAGCTCTCAAGCCAAGAGTTCTGTGCCCTCCCATGATGTTTCCTAGAGATTCCCTTGGTTTATGGAGAGTTGCACTCTGCCTTACAGCCATAGGCAGAAGCTGCAACTTAAGCCCCAACTCCTTAACTGTGTACTGTGGTTAATGCCAAGATATTACAATCTTAGAAAGGAGTGGAGGTAGGGCCTCAGGCCACGGTCAGGGGATTGCATCAGCGGACTATCTACAGAAGGGAAAAGCAGGAGGAACTCTGAATTTCGCCTTCCATGAAGTTATCTCTGGCATTTCCCATGCCTCTCTCCATCAGTGGGGCAGCAGGCTGTCTCTATGTGACAGACTCGCCCTGACCTGTCCAGGCTGACTGTGTGTTCAGGTTTGAAGGTTGCTCAGTAGTGCAGTTTGAGTCAGCCCAAGGTGTCCAAGGCCCCCACATCCTTGTAGCAGAGTGATCTGGGAGCGTGGCCTAGTTTTGCACAGGACAACACCTCACAGGTAGGCCTACCTGGTAAGGGCGGAGGGGATGCCCAAGCCTTTTAATGGGCTATACTGGGCCACACGATGACATTATGTAGTCAACGACAGAGTACATAAACTGGGGGTGGGGGGCTCAGACAATGACAGTGGAGCCGAAACATTCCTTACTGGTGATGTTATGGCTGCCAAAATGTAGCACCACACGTTACTCCAGTGTTTGTGCAGATGCAGGTATGAACACCCACTGTACAGCCAGCTGCACAAAAGGACAACACACTCAGCTGCATCCTGATGAAGACAAGAAATGACTCTCTTGGCTGGTGCCGCGGCTGTCTAGGCTAATCCTCCACCTGCAGCGCCAGCACACCAGGTTCTAGTCCCGGTCGGGGCGCCGGATTCTGTCCCGGTTGCCCCTCTTCCAGGCCAGCTCTCTGCTGTGGCCAGGGAGTGCAGTGGAGGATGGCCTACGTGCTTGGGCCCTGCACCCCATGGGAGACCAGGAGAAGCACCTGGCTCCTGCCTTCGGATCAGCGCGGTGCGCCGGCCATAGCGCGCCAGCCGCGGCGGTCACTGGAGGGTGAACCAACATCAAAAAGGAAGACCTTTCTCTCTGTCTCTCTCACTGTCCACTCTGCCTGTAAAAAAAAAAAAAAAAAAAAAAAAAAAAAAAAAAAAAAAAAAAACAAAAAAAAAAAAAACTAACTAAATACATAAATAAATAAAGCAGCACTCTGGCTGCTGCGTGGAGAATGTCAGGGCAAGGGAAGGCAAGAGTAGAAGCAAGGGCCAGTTGGGAGGCTACTGCGGAACTCCAGGGCAGATACGTGTAGACCAGGCAGACAGAGGGCAGAGCAAGTTCCAGCTTAGTTTTCTGTTAAAAAAAAAAAAAAAAAAAATCAGGAACCACAGACAAGACTGTCAGGGATGACAAACTTCTCCACTCTCTTGGGGTCTTCATTAGGCAAAAACATACTGCCCTTAATTTTTCTTAAATGCTACTTTAAGGAAGGAAAACTTTCTCTCCTCTCTCCTCTAGGTTCTGGGTGGGGGTGGGGGTACCTGGCAATTACACTGACAACAGATTAACAACAGAAAAAAAGTGTAAGTACGTGTGAGAGTTTTACAAAGAGAGGAGACTCCAGGAAGTGTCCAGATGGCTTAGAATTATCTACCATCCTGGACTAAAAGAAAAAGGGCGGGGCTTCCAGGGGCAAGTTACAGCAAGGGAAGGGGAGGAAAGGAATTGCTAAGCAAAGGTTGTCTTGTTATGCAGGTAAGTCTCAGGTGACTATGGAAGTGGAAAACTCCTTTACAAATATTTGTTTATTTGAAAGGCAGTAAGAAAGAGAGAGAGAAAGAGAATAAGAATCTTACATCTGCTGCTTCAACAGCCAGAGCCAGGAGCCAAGAGCATCATCCGGGTCTCCCACGTGGGTGGCACGGTCCCCAGCACTTGGGCCATCTTCCTCTGCTTCCCAGGCTCATTAGCAGGGAGCTGGATCAGAAGTGGAGCAGCTGCTGACATGGGATGCATGCTGGGTAAGCAGTAGCTTCACCTGCCACACCAGGCCCCAGCTGCCAATTTCCTTTACAAAAGGGCACATGTATCCTCTACAGGTGTTAGGGGAAGGTGAAGAACTTTCAAAGAGTCCACAAGCTCTCAATCGCCTTATTCTCAAAATAAAACACAGAGGCCTACTTGGAGGCGGCATTTTCCTGGTGCCCCTCACCATAGACCCGCAGCCAACAGAGCTACCCCCACCTCAGTGAGCTGCTCCGGAACAGCCTCAGTGGGCTCACCCTGCTAGACACAGTTTAACACTCCTTGAAGTTCCAGGGAATGCCAGACTCCCTAGAGACCTTTATCCTCAGCCTCCCACCCGCCCCTCCCATCGACCTCTGTCTTCAGATAACCTTGCCCCAGCCACTGCCTCAGGTCAAACACTCTCCCCACTCCCTCCCATCTTCTCAGCTCTCTCCTTCCAGTCAGCAGTGACTCTGCTCCTAGGAAGTGGCTCTGGCCACACCCACGACCCACAGAGCAGATGGCCAGATGGGCTGGAGTCCACAGCAGGGTGAGCTCCAGTCCACAGCCTGGAGACGCCCACATAGGGGTGAGCAGCTGAGCACCAGCTAGGATGTGCCTAAAAGCAGAGCAGAGAAGGAGATGAACTCAGTTGCATAAATTCCCTGGGCAGGAGCTGGCGGCCAGGGAAGACCCACTCTGTCTTACATAGGGTCACAAAACTCTCCCGGAGGCCCACTCCTCCTTCCAACTCTCCCCTATCAAGATAACACACAAGCCCCAAAGGCCGTGCCCCTTTGAGTCCATTTTTTTTCCTTTGAACCTATGACTAAATCTGTCTCCTCTTGCTAATCTCTTTTGTCAGTTTCATTCACAGGCCCACAAACTGTAAAAACCTCACAAGATAGAGGCAGTTTTTTTCTCCCTACACCATAGACAAAGAAGTTCAAGGACTGAGCTGTGAGACTCCATTTAAAATCACGGGGATCAGGAGGTACCAGCAAGTGGTGGGGAACTTGACAAAGTGAGAGCAAGCGATTTCCTTCATTCCCACAAGTTATAAAATGCTTGACTTAGAGAAAATGATTCGGTGCTCAGTGAGCAAGCAGCCCCTAACAGGGCCCAAAAGAATGATTCTCTTTATGGACTAAGGAAAGGACCCCAAGCTATTTCTACTCCCTTCAGAAGTGGGTACTGTCCACTGGACACGTGGGCTCACCACCCACCTTTGAACTGTAGGTAATGTAAGAAACTGAACTTTTACCATTATTTAATTTCACTTAAGTTTAAATCACTCCACGTAACTGGCGTGGCTACCACATAGCACAGTACTTGTCTAGGCTATTTACTCTTAAGCTACAGTGCTTCTTGCTGAGCTACTTGTAAATAAAGCGATTTCATAGTGCCATAAAAGATACATATATCAGCTATTCTTGAATCAAAACAGATTTGTTTCTGTTTCCAAAAACAGCACAAAACTGTGGTAGCATTATGTTTCTTTTAAATATAGAAAAGTGTAGGATGGCACGCTAATCCTCCACCTGCAGTGCCGCCACCTGGGGTTCTAGTCCAGGTCAGAGCAGCGGTTCTGTCCCGGTTGCTCCTCTTCCAGGCCAGCTCTCTGCTGTGGCCTGGGAAGGCAGTGGAGGATGGCCCAAGTGCTTGGGCCCTACACTCACATGGGAGACCAGGAGGAAGCATTATGTTTCTTTTAAATATAGAAAAGTGCTTTAAAAAGTAAAATGTTGTATACTTCAGGATAAGAACAACAAATCCATAAGATGATTAAGTGTGGCAATAGCCGAGAAAGAAAATGCTGTTTCTTTGGAACTCTCTTCTAAACAATTGTTACTGAACCCGATTCCATTCCTCAAGGGGAAAAAAAAATAGGCGAGTCCCAAAGAATTAAATCTGATCTCTGTCCCTAAACATATTTCACATTTTTTAAACCAAAATACTGTTGACCAAAATCTAACATAGTCATTCCTGGAATCTCACAGCATTTTGTTCACAATTCCACATACAATGGGAAGCCAAGAAAAGAAAAATAGTGATGATTCACCTGCCAGGGTTTTCCTATAAAAGTCCCAAAGATCTCCAGCAATGTCTCAATCCTGAGATGACGCCTTTAACACCTTGTCTTCCAAGCCCCCTGAAGGCCCCCTCAGCACTTCCCATATTGCAGTAAGAGCCTGATTCCTGACCCTTCTCCTCCACACTGCACTGCGCACCTCCAATTCCCACGTCATTTTTGGACGCACAAGTCACAGGTGGAATTTGCCTACAGACAGTGAACTCCTGTGAAAGCAGGGAGGCCCAATGCCTGCTGTTAAACCTTCAGACCTCCTCAGATCCCACTATCCCTGTTGCAGAGGGGCTTAAAGGTAAGACACGCGCCAGCAAGATGAAGTCACTAGCAGTCAAGTTAAGGAGCAGATGCCCTGGAGTCCCCTGGAGAGCTGAGACTCTGGGAGGATTACTCAACTGCACACTAAGCGTACAATGAACAAGGGCAGGTGTTCAGCCGAGTGGTTAGGACGCCCCATCCCACAGGGGAGCACCCAGCTTTGGCTCCTGCCTTCAGCTTCCGGCTACTGCAGATCCTAGAAGGCAAGAGTGACATGATGCCTTGAGCAACTAAAACCCTGTCATTCACATGGAGTTCCCAGCTCCTGGCTTCAGCCCTGGCCTACCCCAAGCACTTGAGGGCACTTAGGGAGTAGACCAGCCAACAGGAGCTCACTCCATCTGTCGGTTTCTCTGCCTCTCAAATAAGCAAACAACAATTAACAGAAAAAAAGTGAGAGAACACAAACACACACACATTCATGGAGGAGAGAGAGAGCGAGCAAGGGACTTAGCCTCAAATTTTCAAATGCATAGGAGGAAGAGAGAGAGCAAGGGACTTAGCCTCAAATTTTCAAACGTGAGGATAAATCCTAAATTATGTCATCTAAGAACTCAATGTATATAAGAGTTCAAAGAAACTGTAATTCTCCCGCTTCAAGGCAGGACACCCAAGGTATGGCCTTCCCAACTTCACTTACCATAATCTCACAGCCTCTGACTACTGAGAGATTAAGACCTGGGAGTAGCCAGCAGCAGGATTATGGTGAAGACAAGCAGCAGCTCTAGTGAGGCAGGAGAAGCCCTGAAGAGGTGATGGGCAATGCATGCAGTTCCTTGTGCAGGACTTTACCTCTCAGAGAAAGGGAGCAAGAAAACCAGGCTGGGACAGGCATTGAGGTGCATCAGCTAAGCCACATCTCCCAGCACCTCCACTTCCGATCCAGCTCCCTGCTAATGGCCTGGGAAAGCAGCGGAAGATAGCCCAAGTAGTTGGGCTCCTACCTTCCATGTGGGAAACCCAGTTGGAATCCCAGACTCATGGCTTCAGTCTGACCCAGCCCTGGCTGTGACAGACATTTGGTGAGGGTGCTGCACTTCTCTCTGCAATCCACACACCTTGCAGACATCCTAATTCTTCCACCCACTGACAAGGGACTGGGTAAAGCCAGCAAAGGAACTAAGGAAAATTAATGGCTCATTACCAAAAGAGAAAAAGTGTGTCTGTACAGGTCATCCTACGCCAGTGCTACTCACTGTTCAGACTAGCCATTGTTTTAGGGTCAAGTTAACAGCAAGGACTATTACAAAACAGTGAAACTGACCCTCTGTAGGTACAGTCACTTTCAGACTTTTGAAAGTGTGTGCAGTAGTGTAACCTCCACAATGGAGAAACAGACCATTTCCATCACCCCAAAGAAAACCCGCTCTCCCCACCTCAGCCCCTGAGGGCCATGAGCTCTTTCCTGTCCCTTTCATTTCTCAGTGTATCTGAATGCTCTCCTTAAATACGCAAAGCACACAAATAAATCTCCATGTGACTTTTCTCATTTTACATTCCCCAAGATCTGCCAGAAATGTGTCCAAATTGTTTTCTCCAGGGATAGAAAAAAAAACCTTCAGTCTGGAAAATATCTAGTCAAATAGTAAATAAAACAATCTAGACCAAGTGTAATTTACATGTGTGTTACATCCCAAACTCTCTTCATCGTATCTGTAATTTATCAGTTGTCTAGGAAAGCCTAAGGCCATCCATAAAACACTCCCTAAATCCTCCTAGAATGGGTGGGACTTGAGTTCCTCCTGCCTTTGAACTTACCAGCCATGTAACCTTGGGAGAAGGGCTTAGCTTAATGTAACCTGGCAGGCATTTGGAGATACAGGAGCAACTAATACAATAGATCGATATCCCTGCCATCGGGCAGTTTAGGGGGTGCCACTCCTAAGCAATGCCAGTTGGCTGTGATGGTTGAGACTAGAAAGCAGCAGAACAGGATGGGATCTGTATTTACAAGGACTGCTGACTTGGGTGGGGGTAGGGACAGTGCAGGGGCACCACTGTGATAAACCAAGATGGGACATGGCCCCATGGCCCTGAACCCCCTTCCTTTGAGCTCCTTAAAATACTTTTTCTTTTTAAAGTACAGAGGGAGAGATCTTCCATTTGCTGGCACACTCCCCAAATGCCCACAACAACTAGGGCTGGTCCAAGCCAAAATCAAGAGACCAGAATTCATTCAAGGTCTCCATGTGTTGCAGGCACCCAGCTACCTGAGCTGCTGCCTTCCAGGGTGCCCTCCTGTGGAAAGCTGGAATCAGGAGCGGAGCAGGGACTCAAACCCAGGCACTCTGATGTGGGATTCAGTCAGCAGCTTAACCACTAGGCCAAACACCTGCCCACTTCGAAGTCTTATTTCTCTCTGTAGGTTCTGCCCTAACCCAAACACCAGAACAAAACACTGAGAAACTATAAACAGGAACAGCCCAAGGAACCCCAGATACACACCTGAGGATGCCAGCGATACTCTCTTCTTAGCTGCCAAGAAGGTGGGGATGGCACTGAAGCCCCACAGGCAGGAAGCACCTTATTCCCACAGCAGTCACAGCCAAAGAGGGTCAGTGAGGACCCCAGCAGGTTCCCCTGGTTCCCAAAACATTCCCCATCCTACCTCTCCCCAGACTCCTCAAACTGGGAAAAACACAGGCAAAAATAACAATCCTTTAGCTTCAGGCCCAGGAAACTGGGGGGGGGGGGGGGGGGGGGCACACCTAATTTATATTTCAGAGCTACCTGAAAAGCTCCTAACAAAAGGAGGAAGCTTAGGTCCAGGGTGAGAGCACGCAGGTGCAGGCACAGGCCCTGGGGACTCCACCTTCCTTCCCACTTCTCCCTGGGCAAGGCTGACCCCGCCTCACTGGCACTGTGGGAAGATAAGCAGCAGGGAGAGACGGTGACTAGAGACATTTGGAATCCAGGGGTCCAAAGGAAAAAAAGAGGGAGAGGCAAAAGTTAAACCAAGTCTGGTTAGAATTTACCTGAAGCAGGGGCCAGAATTCTGTGGTGCCCGCATCCCACATGGCTGCTCTACTTCCCATCTGGCTCCCTGCTGATGACCTGGGAAAGCAGTGGAAGATGGCCCAAGTCCTTGGCCCCTGCACCCGGGTGGGAGACCCGGAAGAAACTCCTGGCTCCTGGCTTCAGATCTGCCCAGCTCTGGCCGTTGTGGGTAAGTGGGTACTGAACCAGTGGATGGAAGACCTCTCTCTCCCTCTCTGTCTCTCCCTCTCTCTGTAACTCTGCCTCTCAAAATAAATAAATAAATAAATAAATCTTTGAACAATAAACAAACTTAGAATATTTTGAAAAGAAAATTTTACCTGAAGCTACAGAGCACTGGATCTATAACCCCATTCTTCTCCCCCAAGTCTCCTCAAGGCTAACACAATATCCTGTCCCCTTCCTGCTTTTAATTCAGTAATCATCTCGATCTGACACTAATAAGGATGAACAGTAAAGCAGGTGGACAAGCAGCACTTGGCTCTCAATATCCTCACTCAGACCTGCCTAAGAAACACATCCCACATCCTGACCCGCATCCCACATCCTGACCCAGGACACAAAGGGTAAGTGAGGGAACAGAGACATAAGCCTCCACCATTGCCCAAAAGACAGATAAACATTGCAATGTCTTCCTTGCCTTTGAATCTCAATTGGGTCTCACATCCTATTGCCTTCATACCCCACCTCTCAACAGTCACCCCTCCTCCTGTGGCCCCCTCCCCCAACCCCCATCCCTAGCCCTCCTAAGATATAAAGAGGCCCAGCCCCGGGGGATCAGCTGCCCCTCTCTTCCTAACATTTTGGTGCTCCCTGTGAGAAGGGGAGCCAGGAATCAGCATCCTGCCAGATCAGCCGCTCCTACATTCTCTGGGTGAGAGCTGTGATCCCCACCCTTCCTCCGAACTCTCTTCTCTCTTCTGAACTCCTTCCACTTTTTACTGCCTCTGCTCACCCCGACCTTCTCTTTCCTACAATCTCCTTTTTCTCTGCTGACCGAGCAGCCCTGAGAGATACCCCTCTGGAACACATCCTCACTCCTGCTTGCACTTCTCGGTTCTCAACGAATACACAGCCAGAGCCCTTTGCAGGATCTCATTCTCGACCCATCAGACTGGTAAGAGAGGCCTTTGTCACCTCTAGGGAGCTGGGGCAATGCTCAGGACTGGTTCATTCCCCTCCCCCTCCCCATAGGGCCTGGGCTGTTTAGTGGTTTCCTTTGCTTAGGGCACTTGGACACTGGTCTAAGCTCGGGATTTCTCACTCTCTCCTCTTAGGAGGACTCAGAACTTCAGGTTGGGATAATCCTTTCCTGGGGGACCCCTGTGAGAAGGACCCTCTTCCCTCAGGCCGTATTTTCCCTAATCCATGGATTCCAAAATTTCTAGCATTTCACCCAACTCCCCTTGGGCCTGCCTCTTAAAAAGCTCGTGCAAGCTAGGCCTAAAGGGAAAGACAAAATGGTGAGCTGATTAAGAAAGCTCTTCTCCATGCTGCCTAGCTGCCAACAAAATCCACTGAAACAATACCTATCCGCTAAAACAATACCTACCCGAAGCTAACAAGGCTGATCTGACAGCTAAAGCTGTGGCTCCTGAGGAACCAATCCCATCTTCTCTCTTGAACTTAGCTCCTGTATACTCAGAAATCTCTCAGTTCCAATAACAAGGGGCATCTAGAAAGGACTCATGTGGCTTCTAGATGAAAAACTAATACTCTCTTCTTTCCAAGCTTTCTAAAAAAAACCTCCATTCTCTCTATCACTCAAACTCTCTTCACCTCCTGAGATCACACATACACCTAACTCCCACCATACGACAAATTCTGCATAACATATCCCAGACCTGTAGCAACTGTCAAACCGCTAACCCCAACTCTAATATCTGGCCACCCCAATCCCCACTCACCAGGCCAATGGATCACTCCCAGGAGAGGACTGGCAGAGGATCCCAGTGCAATTTGGGGTGTAAAATACTTGCTTCCTTCCCCAAACCTTTATCTTTAGCAAGGACAGGCCTCCCTCCTTCCAAATTTACCAAGAGAATAGCAAGGGGTTCTTCTGGAACTCACAGCTTATTGTAAAAACAAGTTACCTATCCCATCCTTAGCAGGCCAGACTGGATGGAGAATTGTAAATGAGGTCTTTTGATGGGTTTTTTTGGTCCCTGGCTGGTAACTGAATGTCAATCTAATCATCAAGGTTTTTTTTCCTTCAAAATTGTTCTTAAAGCCAACTGCCACCAGCCCCCTTTGGGTTTTCCTCTCTTGCAAGCCCCCCTCCAAGCCGCTCTGGCTGGAAGTCCTTGATTCTAATAAATACTTTTAAATCT